CACGAATAAATATACACCTTTTGTATGTATATATATATATATATATATATATATATTTGTATTTATGTTTCGATTTCCCTTCGTATGTGTCGCTACCCCCGCATAGGGGTCGTAAGCGCCCGCTACGCCAGATGTCCTCCGACCGTCGCGCGAGTAGGACCTCTGGTTATTTTATAGCAGACTTTACAATAAAAACAAGAAACACGTGTCCACTATTACGTTAAATATTATTTTAAAATCAAATATAGTGTTTGCTGAATTATTCGTGTGTCGTACAATATAAGTTCTGGTGTAGAAATTAAGAAAACCCTAGAACAAAATAAAAACAAAAAAAATCGAACATGCGTGCGAGAGGCGTTTATTGGAATTGATGTGTGGTGGTAGGTGTTTGAATATGTGAACATGGTCGTTAGAAAATGTAAGTTAAAAGTTATAATTTATAAATACATATGCTATATACATTGTTTATTATATTTTGTGCAAGTTTGTTTATGTTAAAATCATTGTTTTGCTATGCTTGCTTTTTTCAGACATTTGAAAAGAGAATTCAATTTACATTTTTATACATATAATTTATATTATTTTGTTATTTATATTTATTATGTACATAGATGCTGTATTTAAAAAGTTATATATTAATGTAATTATTATATTTTCAAACTCAAAAAACTTTTCATAAATTGTTTATAGTTAGTGAATGACATTCTTTTAAAATTATATATTTTTACTATACAAATATTATATTTGAAATAAATAAAAATATTAATGCTAATTAAAATTTTTCATTGAAAGGCATTTGAAAAGAAAATTAAATTTACGTGTTTATACTTATAATTTATATTATTTTGTTATTTATATTTATTATTATCATAGATATTATACTTAAAAAGTTATATATTAATTTAATTATTTTATTTTCAAACCCAAAAACACTTTTCATAAATTGTTTCTAGTTAGTAAATCACATTCTTTTAAAATTCTAAATTTTTACCATACAAATATTATATTTGAATTAAATATATATATATATATATATATATATATATATATATACTAATTAATTTTTTTTTCTAATTGAATTCTGTTTAAACTAAATTAACAAATATATTTAAGTTTCATTACTTTTTAAGTCCCAGTAAGATAATGGAATTGTTTTTGTAAAATTACAATTAGAACAAATCGTTTTTTGAAATTGTTTTTTTATTCTTTGTGAAACAAATAAAATTATTAGAAAATAATATTATTTTTCTAAAGTTTAATATAAGTTTAAGTTATATTATTTATGTTATGATATCATATGTAGATTTTATGTGCTTTTCATTTCACAAATAATTATACATTAATAGTGTTTTGTTTTAACTGCTGTTTATATTATATGCTGTTTATATTATATTTATTTGATACATATTATAGTTTTCAAAGGAATTTTTTTTTCTAAATTATACTTACTTTTTCATTTTACAACTGAAATATTACAAATTAATATTAATTCAATTAATACAACATTCTATTTTCTGAATTTTATTGCTATAATTGCTTATTGATGACTTTACTGGCTTAATCATGATTTTTTAAATTTATATAATGATTATTTTCAAATTATCAAAATTAAATGATGACTTAACTAAAATCTTTTCCAATGTTATTATAATATATTATTGTTCATAAAATGATTATTAATATATGCACAATTATTTAATATATTTAATTATATTATATTTGTAAATTATATAATTATTTGTATAATTAACAATATTTTTAGTTTAATTTTTTTAAATTATTGATTATAGTTTTAAAATATATTACAAATTATATGATGAATACATTTTAGATAAATTTATTATACTTGTTACTAATACAATCTATTTTACAATACAATATAAATACAATACAAATTTTGTTTATGGTTTTTACTAAATGATTTGTTTAATATTTGATAAGTATATAATTTGTTCTTTTGTTGAATTTAATGATAAATACTAATTTATAAGAGTAATGTTAGTTTAAAAAATATTATAGTTATTATTTATTTATAAAGTATTTTTATTTTTGTATGTTATAAAATAATAAAATAATTATTTTGTTTGAAGTTGTTTTACTGTTTATATATGTAAAAAATTAGTCATTATTTTGCTTTTATGAGAAATATTCTACAATTTATTTAATAGTTTTGTAAATATTTTTTTTATTTAAATTTATTTATTATGTATACAAGAAATAAATCATTTATCCGATATGCACGCAGTGTGTTAAAATCAATTTTGTATATTTAACTATATGCACAATCCTTTATCCTATAATGATTTAATCTGAAAATGGTGTCAAATTTTACAATATTATAATAATCAATCATCACTGTAAACGTTGAGAGCTCATTCATCATATTTCACATATACAGCAAAATGATTAATATTCGTACATACTATATAAAATGTTTGTATATATACAATATGGAGAAAAGCAAAGAGAAAAAGGGATAATTTTTATATTGACTGCACGTTTTTGATTAATTAACGTCGTGCTTTTATTTTGTGAATGTTCATTAGAATATTTGTAAATTGACAAGTTACACGGATCACAAGACAAAAGTTAATAAACGCTTGAGTAACTTGTGATTTTAATTAGCTACAAAGTCCAAAGATGTATGAATATATGTGTATATATATATATATATATAAGTATATATATATGTATATATATATATATATATATGTTTTTGTTTTACCTCAATGAAAAACATATTGCTTCCTTCATGAGTATTGTGTGTGAATTTTCCATCGATTGGCAATAATCTTGAACAAATATTTATCTATTGCAATTACGCTTTTGTGGACAAGACCTATTTGATAAACAACCTACGTATTGTACATTTTGTAATGAAATTCAGCAATTCCAAACTAACTGTTTGAATAACATCCTTGAAAAGCCTGAAAAAAATAAAAGTATTGATTAATAAATATAAAGTTTGATATACTTTTCAATAACATTCATTTAATATATTATTTATAAAGTATATTTAAAAAAATAAACAACAATTAAATATACATTATTCACTATTAACGATAGATTATTAATATTTTTCAATAATTGACTTATCACACAAAGTTAATATTAAGGAGCATGCATATTTAGTTGCAAAACTTTGTGATCATATATTAAACGTGCTTCTAAAGTAATCTCTTTGTGTTTAATATTAAACTGAGTTACTTTATAAAGAGAATTCTCAATTAATTTATGGTTTACTAACTATCAAATGAAATGTAGTTACAAGACAGCTTACTCAATTATTATCAATCCTGTAATAATATATACTATCTCCAGTGTATTAATTTGTCCTTTGTGGTTCCTCGAGCTAAGTATGATGCAATGAAGATGATTTAATGAATTTTAATCTTATTACACTAGTCTCATATCTTTAAGTAAATTAATATTCAATGTATTAACTTATATTCTACGTTCCAAAGCTACCACGTGTGACACTATAAAGTAATTTTAAACTTGCAACATGTTTCTATATCCAATATTTGAAATAAAAATGATTCTCAATACAAGTAAGACTTTATTAAATCCAGTCAACTTATTTCCTTAAAAAACAAATACCGTTATTCAGAAACGAAATCGGCAAGAGGATTCTATCTCCTAAAACTTCTCCAAGAAAACTAAATATTTCAAAAGTTGAAAATCGCCAATTGTTATTTATAATCCATAACCAATTTATATTTGCATTTTCAAACTATAAAATTAATTGTAGTATAAACAGTGCATCCTGATGAGCCCTTTGGAAACGCATTGTCCTCAAATACATTGTTTAGAGAACATAACAACTATAACATATACAGAAAATTATTAATACCAAACATTTTAAATTGATTTTAGTGTATGTCATTATAATATTAGACTTCTAAAGCAATAGCATATATCAATTTTACAAAGTTATATAGTATCAACAGTGTTTTGAAGAATGTATTTCTTAGTGTTTCTCATTAAAAAGTACCGGTTCTAAAAATTTTGTCAAAAAATTAATTAATTTGAGTATTTATTGTTTTTATAATAGTAACTATATTTTAAAATTACAAATAGGTAGCACAAACAGTGCGTCCTGTGGAGCTTCTTAAATACTCCCACCAATCATTACAAATATGTCTATTCCTTGTTAGTGATCCGTGGTGCATCGTATTCATATGCAATAGGGTGGTCCTTTCGACCCATTCTTCAATATTTAATGCATCTAATAATACGTGTACAACTACGAAGTAACCTATTTTCCAGTCTTGGCCTCATATTCAGGTTTAAATAATATAAATGGCTTGGTTTCGGTACAAAAGCCCGACGGGCGATCGATACTTCATTCAGAACTGATATCGCATTCGGAGAAAACGAAGACGATAGACAAAGATAAATATTATATATATATATATATATATATATATATATATATATATAATGTAAATAAATTTAATTGAATGATTCACATGTATCTTGTAATGTAGTTGACGTTATCTTTTAATTGTATTGTGAAGTTTTTCCGCGCCGTTTTTGCCTCTACTAAATTCAACCCGACGCAAAGTCTTAATCCAGGTTGATCGTGCAGGCGGCCAGGCCGTATTTACGGTAAACTTGTAAAAGTTAACAAAACGGAACAAATTGCCCATTTTTTCAATTTTAAATATATACTTACTATCAATAATTAATTTCAATCTAACCACCAGATTTATGCCAATCGAATGGGTTAAATATTCCGAATGTTATAAGAAAATAAATGCACTTGTATCTAGTTTTTATTGCTTTTATAATATTAGACGTTATCAAATTATCATATTATTAATTTTGAAACAAGTTCATTTATTATTCTAAAACAATTATTATAATAAAACGTGCCACTTCGACAATAGTTCCTTCTTTAATTTGACTGCAAATCGATAAATAATTAAAATTTCATTCACTCAGCCTCGGATTTAACAACTGCAACTGCAACTTGTAAGTATTGCACGAAAGTGCATCATGTCGAAAAATGAATAATTCAAGTGACTCTGCAAGGACGAAACGCTTAATCCGGCCCTGGAATCGTCGAAAGAAATAATAAGACTCAAGGTAGGATTTAGGAAATTCAGCAACGGAGCTTAAAAAGGACTTAGTGAGTCTATGATAAGCATATATAATATATACTCTTTCGAAGGTTCCATACCAATTCGGAAATAAATCGCTCATACAATATGACGTTGATTTTCTAACATCTAGAAACAAACGTTGATCTAACTAAATTCTAGTATAATCTTGGTACCTTTCGAATAGATTTTAATAAAAAAGGCTAAATATTTATTATGTATATCATTATTATTATTATGTTTTTTTCTGGTTTCAGTTCCTACGGCATGAACATGGATATCAAATAGCCACGACCGCCGACCGCCGCCCTCAGCGCCCTCACCACTGCCTTCATCCTCTCCTTCACCTGACGGATGCATGGGCGAAGAGGAGGAGGTGGTTCACCCTGACACCGTCGTCGACCTGGCGCTGTTGGTCATTAAATCATGCATCATGCTATCGATAATCGCGGGCGCTCTCTTAGGGAACCTCCTCGTGATAGTGGCAGTCGCCAGGCATCGCAAACTAAGGACATCGCAAACCGGTTTGTGGTCTCCCTAGCCCTGGCGGACATGCTTGTGGTCCTGGGAGCCATGCTGTTCAATTTTCTAACGGAGGTGATGAGGGGGCGATGGCTTTTCGGGAGTCTCATGTGCGACGTATGGAACTCGATGGACGTGTACTTCTCGACCGCCTCGATTTTGCATCTCTGCTGCATATCAGTAGACAGGTATGTAGTCAACTTCAATTAAGCACAATTTACCACATCCAACCCCTGTTGTCTCCTTTTTAGATACTACGCTATCGTGCGCCCTCTCGACTACCCCTTGATAATGACCAACGGACGCACCTCCTCGATGCTGGCAGCAGCCTGGCTCTGTCCAGCCCTTATGTCCTTCTTGCCGATCTTCACCGGTTGGTACACAACCAGCGAGCACCTGTCTGCCAGGAGCAGAAATCAGGAGCACTGCTCCTTCACCGTCAACAAGACATACGCCCTGATTTCTTCCACCGTCAGTTTCTGGTTCCCAGGAGTGGTCATGATCTACATGTACTACAGGATCTATCGTGAGGCGGATAGACAAGAGAGGATGCTCTACAGGTAAGTAGATAGATAAGATGAAAAAATACAGAGTAAGAAATATTTTAAAGAAATATGAAAAATTAAAACGATAATAACAGTTGAAAAAATAGCTTTTTTAGAAAGAAAGTTAAAAAATATAAAATATTGAAATTGTGAGATATAGAAAATTAGACACCTAGGAGATTAAGATAGAAAGCTGATGCAAATACAAAATAAAATATGATCATATGAAAATTAGTAGTAAAAAAAATTAGAAATATAGAAGAATGGAGAGATGGATAATGAAAAGAATCAATTCAATTGTTTTCCCAATGCGTGTCCATTCTAATTTATTTTTGCTCTTCAAGTTATATCGTCGAAGTCTTTTTAATATATATATATATATATATATATATATATATATATATAACCCTAGAAATCTCTATTTCATTTTCTAAAACCCCTCGACGCCTACCGACTTCATCGGGTTAAGGTCATCCATCCAGATCGACCTATTTCCAAACCCCATCGTCAACCCAAACCACCACTTGTCGTCTTTTCCGAAAATTTTTATAGCCTGCAAACTATTATATAATACATTTATAGAAATCTAGCGTTCTAATACTAAAATTCACACAAGGGGGCGCAGTGTAGGCAGATAATTATATCTCCATTATTCGAAGGCGGGGGCACACAAAGTGTTTATATATATATATATATATATATATATATATATATATATATATATATAAATCGATAATGGCCCATGGGTAATGTATGTTGATAAGTCAGGAAGGAGGGGAAGCCAATTTCGTGAAACGTAGTCCTGTTGTATTAATTGGCCAAATAGTTTTTTATTTATTAAATGAATTATCCATTGCATAATTTAAATAAATAAAAATTATTAACAATAATAAATATACATTTTATGTTTGTGGTTCCTGTATAAATGGAACAAAAACCGTCACTGTGACTAATCAGTCTAATACCTAATTACTTTCATACAGTGTTTTAAGTATAAATATATTAAAAAATATTTGATAATAGACCATTTTTTCAATGTTTGTTAATTTAAATAAAATATCTGACATGAAATACAATTTTTCTTGATTGTGTAAACAACATTTTGAGTTCAAAAACATTGTAGAGAAACGCTGATTTTAATTCCTCAAACAATTGACATTTTCAAAAAGCTCTGTAGGAGGCACTGTTTGTACTACAACTTCGCATATCGAAAATACTATTTCTTAAAATAATTTTTGTAATACTCAATAAGTAATACCTTAAACTTTTGAGTTATCATATTTATAGAGATCTACATAGCATGCCATTAGTACTACAAAAATGTATTTTGAGTATGACATTTTCCAAGATGTCTATTATAATAACGAATACAAAAACCCATAAGTTTTTCTAACAGCTTTTTAATTATACATATAATCAGAAATATGAAACATCTGATATAAAATGACTCTGCCATGGTTTATATTTCTAAGAGCTCTTCTCGACGCACCCACCATCCATACTACAACCTCGTAATTATAACATGGCATTCCTCAAAGTGTGTAACGTAACCGCAAATACTAATTTTAATATATTTTCTAACAACATTTCCAGTTGTAATAGATTTTATACGAATGTAAACTCAAGTGTGATTATGAACGATAATCTTCAGATAACTCAGAGGCCAAATTACTCTGGGATTTATACACTAAGGACTTTTTATGCTACATCTATGTAATTCCGATATATTATTCTTCCAAGAGCCATTTTTCAAAACAAATGCTAAAATTAATAGATTATCAATAAAAGCAATAATGTCAATAAAACTCGAACTCTCGCGCTTTATTGTACTTTATAAGACTTATTTAGAGTCATAAGCTTATATGACAAAGTTTCTATGCAATTTGTGCGTATAGTTATTGGGAAATATCACAAATGCAAACACTTCGAGTTCGAAAAACATAAATAATGCTTATACAGAAATGTGTATAATATATATGTAGATATGTACCTATATATAAATTTATCTGAAATTTGGAATTTGCGGTTATTCGTCCGCTTTTGCTGTAGAGAATACATTAATGAGAATGCTATGAGATATCGTAGAAGGCAAAGTTCAATTGCGGTTCGGCATATTGAATATCGAGAGCATACACCCGAGTATATATATATATATATATATATATATATATATATATATGTTTGTGAGTGTGTGTGTATGTTTGCAGTCAAATGCACAATAGAGGCCACAAGGCCTTTTCGACATGTCAATGGAACAGGTGGAACAATTAATTCCATATTGATCATTTCCTTTATGTGTCTACATGATAAAATTGACTTATAGACACATCATGATTCTAGAACAGGGGCTGGTGAATGAATAATATCATTAAATTAATTAAATTACCATTAAGTTTAGAGTTACTAAAATAATAAGACTTGAATGAAAGTGCATGAGGTTAGGTTTAAGATATTGCATACTCAAACGCAGACTGAGTCTATAAACGGATCGGAAATTATGTAGTATATATTATATTAGTGTCCGAAGTAGATTATATAATATAAATCACGATTTTCTACATTTAAGTTCTTACTACAAAACTAATCAATTTCAAAATTTTTGCTTGTAATAATAATAATTTTAATTAGCAATGCGTCCTGTGCTGCTCGTTCAACGAATCACTAATGATTAATGTAGTCTTATTAAGAGCTTGTTATTAAAAATCGCTTCTTTAAATCAAAGTTACTGTAAAAAATATTGATTTTAGTATTTTATATTTCCTTAAAATATAATGTAACTAAAATACAAAAATCGTAATTCAAATAGTGCGTTCTGTAAATATTTATGTCATATAATGCAATATATTACGAGCTCTCTAAATAAAATGCATTAAAATCCATAATTCATATATATATATATATATATATATATATATATATATAAATATATATAAATGCGGAAGCTTCACAATTCTTAACTTTAATCGACTTTTCTATAGAGTGAAGAAATCTAATAAAACGTAGTAGATAGGAGAAATACAAAAAATGACGATAACGTGATTTTATGTACGAGACAAAAGTAGAATTTTGTATATTATATATATATATATATATATATATATATATATATATATGTATTACATATATATAAATATATATATATATATATATATATATATATATATACAAATGTATGTTCATTAACAATATAACAATCTCTACTCTTCCTTTTGCAAAAGATTAGATTTGTATACTTTTTTATAAGACACATGTATCTTCAATGTCCATAAAAGAACATTGCACGCAATTCGAGATCGCGGCTTTAATTTGATATATTCATGTTTAAGTATATAGTTATTGAAATATATTTATATTAGTATGCTATGTATATGTAATGCACCTTAAATATTATTTTAAATTTAAAAATACTAACACTTTTAAGTAACAAAATAAAATTTCAAACGTCTGTAATTTTAATTTTGGTAATTTTGGCCTTAAACATAATTTTGAATTACAAAAATCATAAACTAAACTATTCAATACCGAAGCAAACATTATGAACATTTTTTGAAACAAATACGTATCTCTTACAACGAACGAATTTCAGAAAAATACGACATTTAATATTAATATTTATGATATACATATACATATATATATATATATATATATATTATATATTATATATATATATATATATATATAATATTGTTCAAAGAAAAAATCTTGTTTCACCGTAACCGATAAAAATAATAAAAAAGTCGTCTTTTGATCCCAAATTTGTGTACATTTAGTTCTCTCTCCATATTTATGTGTGTGAGTTCGAGTGCATATATATATATATATATATATATATATATATATATATTCGTATAACCCGAACAAATACAAATATTTGCCAAAAATCTCACAAAGGCCCCTTTTTCTCGAGGGTCGTCTTACAACGATTACCTAATATTTCTTAGTGTCCCCCTTTGAGTGATTGAAAGCGATCGCCACCCCGCCCACGCTTCCTAAACAACACAAAAGTGCTCAGTGGCAATTCATCATGGGGGGATCCAATTTTGTCGATCGGTCCCAGAAAATTTAATTAAACCCAAGAAAAAAACATATTAAATTAATAAACGTATCAATGACACTTTTATTTAATCAACCAAATAAACTAGCAACAATATACCTATTATTTCCTATCATATTTACCTTTTATAATACCAAATCCGTTTTATTCTCCCAATGCCTTCACATACTTCGGAATTGCATTCTTCTTCGGTTTCTTTTCTTCAGGAAAGATTCCTTTGTACCTGATGACATCATGAATGAATCTATTCCATTTCTTATTCCATAATCTCCACAGTTCGTATTTTTGTTTTCGGTTTAGAGAAGTTTGCTCGATGGAATTCAATGCCAGCTGCTTGAGCAATCGAAGGTCTTGCCACCTGGCTGCAAGACCCATAAACGCTTCGTACCTAAAAGATATATATATATATATATATATATATATATATACGTATATATGTGTGTGTGCGTGTGTGTGTATGCGCTATTATAAGTTACCAATCGTATGTGACTCCTTTGGCTCCCCAGAATCCCGGGTCGTCCGGCGCTATGACGATCGGATAGTCGTCGGTGAACATTGCTGCCGCCGGATGATTCCTCATGTCCTTCACTAAACCCAAGACTTGGTTAGAGATGGGACACAGTTCGATTCCTATTCTTTTTCTCTTTATGTATTCTGCAACCTTAAAAAAATGTATCAACTAAATTGAAAAAAAACAAGACATAAGAAAATTGATTTTTGTAAAAAAAAATTCGATAATTCACAGAGGTAGTAATTTCAAGAGGTAGTAATATATAGTTCACATTTTCAAGAGGTAGTAGTCTATAGTTCTAATGTCCCTTGACAAACCTTTGGATGTTTAGTAATGGCGTACCCGTGTCCAATCCTTTTGGTTCCTAATAAAACGGCGTCGATAAGGTTGTCATCGGAATGAAAACCGTTCCAATTAGTTTCACCGGCGTGAAGAGACAACCCAATCATGCTCTTCACCTTTAACAAACTTCTAGACAAATTCTTCAAAGTCGTACCTATATCTTCTTGACCCACCAGATCAAAACCCGCAACAAATCCTGGATACTGCTTTAAAAGCTGGCGCAAAGTGCTCAAATATGGTTTAAATGTTGTATCGTTGACAAATCTTAAGGGTGCATAGATGAATTTGGCATCATAAAATCCAGGATGATGCCCTTTGAACTTGGTCAACGTGTCGACGTATAATTTAGCAACCTGCACACCACTAAACCAATTTCCAGACAAGTCGTATACGTCATTCAAGAGTCCACGAAATTCCAAATAACTAATGTTGTCTTCATGAAATTCCAACAAAGTTTGGTAAAAGTAGTCCTTCCAAGCTTGTTTATACGTTATTAGCGGCGTCAGTCTGCCAAATTGTTCCATAAACCTGTTCCATATGGAATTGACATCTAATCCGGCATCATCCGGGTTCAGACTAAGTTGTGGTTCCAACCACGCATCGACCAAATTTGTTGAATATTTTTTCCTCAAGTAATTGAGATTCCTCCAGCGACAGCCCTTGCACTCGCCAGGTTTTCGCGCAGAAAACCGTAGTTCCAAGAGTTTATCATTACTTTTATCTATTTTTGCATAAACGTTGTCTCTATAAGTTAAATTATATAAAACAAAGTCCTTACTGGCAAGTGCGACATCGTGTCCATGTAAAACGGCACCTTTAGGCATCCTACGTAATAGCCTGAATAAAGGACATTGTTTAATATTGTCCTTAGCCAGCAAAAAATTTCTGGCTGGGCTGAAATTTAAAGGATCTACAAAACCCTTTTGCAGAATCTCGAATTTTAATTTCATCAAATATTTATTTGCTTTTTGTTCACTTTTTGACAAGAGCAGGCGACTTCCTAGTGCGCGGTTTCGCTCATCGGATAGAAAATCATGTCTTCTACGAGATAATCTTATAACTTCATCGTGATGACAATAAATAGTTGATGAAATATTAATAATAAAAAAGAGTTGTATTAATTTTAGCATTGTTGACGCATGGAATTGCCGTATGTACTAAACAATCCCACGTTGCCACCATTAAAAAGAATTTCCATCGCCAAAATCATCTGCGATCCACAATTGCGAAATATGAAATTGCATCAAAATGACGTTACATAAATAACTGCAAATTTGCGTCAAATATTAAATAAACATTTTAATTTATTGTGCAAGTTTTAAATTATTTCTGGTCAGCAAATTTATAGAAATTAAGCAATGCAGCTTCATAACAATTTTCGGATATCCTTTTTCTCTTATATTATAATAAAATTTTGAGTATGTCATTTTCCGTAGTTTTAAAATTATAAGTTTTGCAAAATAATACATTTTAAATAATTTATCAAGTGTTCTGCAAATCTTACAGCTTTTACTAGTAAATTGAAATTCAAATATAGCATTTTTCAAAGTATCTATTATGACAACAACTACTGATTTGAATGAGTATTTTACAACAAATTTGCGTTATAAGAAATTTTGTAAAAAATGTCATAGCTTTTTAAAAAAAGTTTGTTTTTAATTGTGATATCTTACCTTATTTAAAAAAATTAAAACAAAAAAATTGTAAAATATTCCATTAAAATCTACTACGGTTTTAATTTTAAATGTCTTAATCGTTTTGAAAACACAGAATTGAAAATATATTCATTCTAGAGCACTATAATTTGTGTACATGATTCATTAAACTTAATTTTAAATTGCACAAATACTAACCGACATTATTAAGTTACATAACATATTGAACCATTTGAATAAAAAATATTTATAATAAAAATGCTTATACGTAATAAAAAACAAAGAGTTCAAAAGTCATATAAACAGCTTGCGAGGGAGAAAATAAACACTCAGGTGCATACAAATGACCCAATAAAGACCCAGAAACACGCTTCCATAATAACATAACAATATAAAAGGAAACAATGATAATAAATAGAACGTCTCTACTGTTATTTCCATCTAATTCTCTCGATCTCTCCGACGTTATGCAAAAACCCGGCGCGAGATGACATTTTTCGATTATTTTTATCATGTTTACGTTTCCTTGGAGAATATAAAAGTGAATGTGAAGCATAATAAATAATAAACGATGCGCAATGATATTTTTTCATTAAATTGACAGATATTATTTTCTTTAGTCATTGTAAAAGAAAATTTCAATGAGGGAGAACACTATATTTTTGCATTGAGATTGATATATATGACGAACGTACCAAAGAGAAAAAATGATACAATTTTCAAATACTTAATACTATTTCAAGCATTTCTACATACTAATTGTTTACCTTTGGATGCTTTGTGACTGCATACCCGTGCCCAATCCTTTTCGCGCCCAACAACAACGCGTCCACCAAATTCTCATCGGAATGAAAACCGCTCCAATTTGTCTCGCCGGCATGAAAGTAGAACTTAGTTCTTCCCTTTTCCTTCAAGATGCTCCTCGTCAAATTCTTTAAAGTAGAGCCGATGTCCTCCTGACCAACTAGATCAAAACCTGCCACAAAATCGGGATAATGGCGCAAGAGTTTCCGTAATAAAACTGAGTGTGGTTCGAATGTGGTTTCATTCAAGAACCGCAAGGGTGAGTAGATAAATCTGGCTCCATAGAAGTCTCGATGACGTTTTTGAAAAGATTTCAGAACCGCCCGGTTAAATCTGGCTACTTGTAGAGACTCCATGGTCCTACTGTTCAGATCACGCAGCTCTTTAAAACGTCCACGGATTTCCATGTAACTGACATTGTCTTCATAAAATTCTTTGAAAGTATTGTATAAAATATACCACCAGGCCGGTTTATAGGTCACTAAAGGTGATACCACTTTGAACTGGAGCATAAAACGCTTCCAAATAGTGTTGACATCCATACCTGCATGCTGGCTATTCAGACTCATTTGTGGTTTCAACCATTCATCAACTTTCGTACTTGTGTTGGTATCCCGCAATTGCACTAGATTGTTCCACTGGCAACTTTGACATTTATCATTTCCATCAATCCCAGGCTTCTCTTTAGCAAACTTAAACTCCTGAAATTCATTCTTATCATTCACTTTTACCCAAAGATTTTTAGCGTAAGTCATTTTGAACAAAAACTCGGAACTGATGAGCGCTGAATCATGTCCATGCAAAACCGCACCTTTGGGCAGCGCCTTCAACAATCTAAAAACTTTCGACTTCTTCATGTCTTCGACGGCTTCCAGGAAACTTCTAGCCGGTATAAACTTTGTCGGCTCGTCAAAACCTTGCTGCAACTCCTCCAATTTAATTTTCATCAGGAATCTATTTGCAACTTGTTCCATTTTATTCAAAACAATGCTGCTGCCCATGGCACGCGAGCGTTCTTGGAATAAAAATTTGCTGCGAGCGATGGATAGTTTTTGTTCTTGCACATTTTTTGCAGAAACAAAAAATATAATAGACAAAATAATTACTGTACTATAGTTAGACATGTTAGTCTGTAAATTAGTGGTATTTTTCTAATAAAGTAACTAAAATCATCAATAAAGTTGTATGAACGTTTTTAGATCAATTGCATAAAAATGGACTTACGCAAAACACCTATGCATGAAAATTTTTGCGCAAGTTAAATAAATATTTTACTATATGTTATTCTAAAAACTATATTCGACATTATATGCAAATAAACAAATTATATCATGTAAAATGGTATACATTACACACGCAGACATATACATACATATATATATATATATATATATATATATATATATATATACAGTGGTACACATACATATGAGCTTAATTCGTTTCGCAACCCCGCTCGAATGTCAAATAGCTCGTATCTCGAAATATTTTTTTCCATATAAACACATGCTATTAATTCGTTCTAGTGTTTTTTGATAATAAAAATAAATAAAATTGTGATGTTAAGATCAATACATATTCTGCAAAAACATAACAAATTTCTAAATAAAACTTACTAAATTAAAATTATACTATTTAAAAAAATGAGAATTTTTTTGTTCATTTATTATATTGCTAAAATATATTAGACATGATTCGTCAAACAACTCTGATAAATAAAAAAAAAAACGAGAAAATCTTTCTTTATCATGAAATCAGTTCAGTTAATTTGTCAATTTAATCAATTGCCAGTGTCTAAAACAATATTATGAATGACTTAACGAACGACGTCGTTTAGTTATGATTGTTATATCTTTATTTATATATATATTTAATATTATTCAACATAAATTATGATAAAAAATCCTGAACTTAATTTTTTTACTGATGCATTTTATATATATATATATATATATATATATATATAACAAATGTTTTCTGAGCGGATAGATATTAATTGAGAAATATGAACAAACAACACTCTTTTTTGCACTAATTTATTGAATAATAATTTTACAAACGTTTTGAGACTAGGTTGACATTTATTTTTCAACTGGGTCCTATTCCTTCTCTTTTCTATTTGATATTTCGTGACTCACCTAGTTGACCTTGGATAGAAAATTCAGACTCCGACGATCGTAAGTATGGCAGTAGAAGAAACGACTTGTAACGGATAACACATAATGCTAATTTAGATTTCCATATTTTTGATTTTAGAATATAACACACTGATGATGAGACAAACCTAGTCTCAAAACGATTGTAAAATTATTATTCAATAAATTAGTGCAAAAAAGAGTGTTATTTGTTCATATTTTTAAATTAATATATATATATATATATATATATATATATATTTCAAGTTGACTAACTATGAGTTTTGGTGTCGACCACTGGTTTGATCCCAACACCTTCAACCGGAAGTCAGTTACCTAGTGAACGTAGACATCTGCCGGCAAATGTCGATACTGTTACCACAGTTTCCCGGTTTTCAAAATCTGATTTAGTTAGAAACTTACTCCGGATTTTCTAGTATACTCGCACAAATCAATGTAAAATATATTTTATTTTCATTTAGAAATTTAATTTATACCAAATAAGGCTTACAATTGAAAACTTCAATAATAAGCAATATACTTTATTAAAGGAAAGTTGGACAATGACGTTACGTCCGGAAAAGTTTGTTAGAAAATAATTAAAAAGTTCATTTTACAATGAGCGACTTGCAACTAAAGGTGCACCATATAGAAGTATCTCTTCTTTTAAATCTCAAATTTTATGGATTAAATTTAATCATAAATAATTTTAAAACAGTTAAATTATTTAAATAAATTAAATTAGTTAAATGAATACTTCCATTCCTATCTCTTCGTCGAACTGTTTCATTTTTGTTGTTTTGTACGTCCTGATATTATACTAATTAATATAATGTACTCCCACAATGTTATGTATTATATAAAGAAAACTAATGCCTTTAGGTCCTTTTGTGTACGTGGACACTCGAACATAGGGTAATGTGGGGTAAAATGAACATGAATTGAGAATTGATATATATGTATAATTCATTGCACATTTTAATGCTCTTAAACAACCCGACTAATGAAAATGAAATATATACTTGTAATGATTACACTATCAATTTGAATTGAAATAAATAAATAAATATATTATTTATTCATACTTTTCAACACCAGATCCGTGTCATCATTTCGATAAAATTAATGCAAAATATAGAATGAATTCAGTAACTATAAAAAATAGAATTAATATAATGCTACAGGAAGAAAACTTTCATTTATCTTTGTTTTTAAATAAGAAACAATAACAAACCGTGTATGACAGATCTAAGTGACTCAAGTAACTTATATAAATTGATATTGACAGCCCAAAGCATCAAAAAACCAAAACGTGAAAAGAAAGTGAAAACATATCATTAAATATTAAAAAAAATCAGATATATGAAGCATAACCAACTTTGATAACCGTCGAAAAGTAAAGAAGACAAACGACGTTTATTAACACTGAATTTAAATTATTACACCAAGATTCCACGAAGTTTGTAAAATCGACATATTTTCCCTTATAAAGAAGAATAAGGTTATATGTTCATAGAAGTCTTTCTTTATTACTAAAATATATGTATGTATAATCATAAATAAATACCGCTTACTTCATCATACTTAATACGAGCTTCAAAAATCTTTACCACAAGAATCAATATAATAAAATAATAAATTTTCATCCATGTCTAAATGATTTTCCCGCCGTTCTACCCAATCGTTCTATCGTACCCTAAATTCCCAACGGTGGGCGGTTAAACCTGCAGATAAATTACAGGTGTAATATATATATATATATATATATATATATATATATATATATATATGGAGCTTTCGTGTCTGCAAAAGCTCGTATTAAGCTCGAAAGCTCTGACTGACAACTGACCCATGGAAGCAAGAAATGTTAAAACTAAGTTTTATAAATTATGATGAAACGTTGCGTGGATGGACACAGTTTTAGTTGCTTAATTCTTTGAAAAGCTTTTAGAAATTTATATATATATATATATATATATATTCCAGCAACCAGTTATTCTTCTAGATAGCATTTTCTCTCGTGTTTTTAATTAGCCTCGAATAAATTATTCAAAACATAAATTATTTTACAGGGCGAGAGTCTCCAACGTGAAAAAAAAATAAACCGACGATAAATTAGTTTTATTATACTTAAATATTTATTATTATTAAATCGGATTATAATATTAGACAATAATATAGCATATTTAATTTTAAATTAATTATTCAAACATACTATTTATAGTTCCTAAATACGAACAAATATGGATAAATGTGCTTTTGGTAATTTTTCTGTCAAGCAGCTTTATGAATATACAAAGTTGTTCAAAATTGTTGTTGTATTAGAATTGTTGTAAATTGCTAAATCGTTAACAAATTTAATGTGTACGCCATTCATAGATAATAGAACAATTAAAAGTTGTCGAGAACAAAACAAATAATTGTTCTCTCGTCAACGTGCAATATATATCTTTTCTTTAACAATTTTTTCATACAATTATTCGAATTAGTAGTTTATCCTTTAAAGTTAAAATACACACACAGTCATATATAAATATATATATATATATATATATATATATATATATGTGTGTGTGTGTGTGTGTGTATAAAAACTTTTTATAACAAAAATCATGAAGCAATAGAAATATGGAAGTCTAGCAAAACGTAAGCTTTGCAAATAAATCAATAACATTTGCTTAGTTCGACCTTTTTTAAATGCGAATATTTATATTTATGAATGTGAATATATCATATATAGGTATGTGTGTATGTATATTAGGATACAGTATCATTTACCCTAAACAAATGTTTTCGCGGATTGTTAATTACTTAGGACGACGCCTATGTAAATGGGATGAAAATTATACGAGAAATTTACCTAGAAGCGGATTACTAACTAAGTGGTGGTGCCGACGGTGACGGTTCAGGAAAATAAAAATAATTTTATCAATTTTCCTTCAACTTGACCTCTGATTGTATGTATTCTGATCTATATATGTATATATAAAAATTTTACATTTAGTTATTTACAAAGATACACATGATTCAGATCGCGCACGACAAATGTCAGCCAAATGGTAAATACATTTTGGTATTGGAGAAAATGTCATTGTATTTTTGCATTTATTTTTCGTGCCATTGAGAAAGTCATATTATTATTTATAAGACTGCGTATAGCAACTAATAAAGTTTAGCTTGAAAATGTATTTGGTTTAGTTTTCGGACATTGCAAGATTGCAATTGATGTACATTATTTTATATTTTGCGTTATTCTGTTAAATTTAAGTTTAATGCATATACACTATTAAATATCATTAAACAAACATTAAGATTATATTATTTAGAGCAAAATTATATTTTAACTAGTGGGGTGGGTGGCATCGTGCCTTAAGGCAAATTGCTGGAACTTCCCGTACCGTAACGAAATGTTCGAGGATTATTATAAATATTGTAACATTGCCGTCTAATATTTATAAGAATTATATAAACTGAATTGCAGAGTTGAAATTATTTGTTTAAAGTATATTACAACTATAGTCAGAATTAAAAATAAAATATGAAATATTTTCGATATACAAATAACTAAAAAAAAAAAAAAAAAAAATGGGAATTTTTTTTTTTCCAAAATCAATTATTTTGTTAAGACAAGCAGAAAGTTCTTTGAATCATTTAAATCGGACGCTTAGTTCTCTCAAAAACTGCCATTTTTTACATATCTAGCTCCGTATCTTCAAAATGGCTGGGCCTGCCTTTGCCAAAAACTACTAAACACTTCTCCCAATCATTACTAATTGAATGTTTTTTAGATCATTCAAATCGGATACTCCGTTCTCTCAAAAATTTGATTTCTATTTTCTGCACTCTTTGCTCCGTATCTCCGAAACGGCTGGACCTGCCTTTGCCAAAAACTAATCAGCTCTTTTCCCTATCAATAGAAATCGAATGTTTTCTGAACCATTCAAATCGGTTGATC